CACTTATGAAATCAATACGGTTGAGCGTGGAACACCAATTTTTATATGGAGGGGAAAAAAGCAATTAAGGGGAGAATGTTGATTGATGGTTAAATTTTGCGGAGGTATAATTTTCCCTTTTGAGGTCCTTCCTGTGCACTGCAATCCCCCCCCCCCCCCAACTGTTGTGGGCAATTTTTTTTTTTATAAAATATACTTTTAAAATGTCATCATTTAATCCAAATTTTTACGGCTCATAAATCTGTTTTTCTTTTTTTAAGAACGTCGTACGCCGTTTGGAAATTAGCTGCAGAGTGCACTTAGCTTTTTGTTCATCTCTGGCTATTTGCGTTAGAACACATCGCGAGGGCAATTTACTCTTTCTAAAATATCTCCTCCTAAAATCGGCAGCCTTATTATCTGCCATCAATTTGTTTTGCTTGATCATGTGTTGCGTGAATCGCATCTGTGCGTGCTTTGGATCACTTGCGCATGCATGGGGTGCTCGTGCAAGTTATATATTGTTTGTGTGAGAACCAGGAATGCAGTGGATTGCACACTGTGCTATAATCACGAAGAAGTGGATACAATTCCTTGACTGTACACAACATCATGGGGCGGCATTGCTTAGTTTGATTTAGCCTTAAATGAGTACATCCTGATAATTCTCTCACATTAACACAGCTTATTCAATGCTAAATTATTATGTTGATATGTATACTCCTTTGTCAAGGCGCTCTTCTCCTCCCACCCAGCTTAAAATACGCTGCCAAGCTTAGCAGTGTTCATTGGAACGTTGTCTTTCAGACAACTCTGTCTTCACCTGAGGACGGCTGCTTGTGTTGTGGCCGAAACGTCGTGATAATTTTATTTTACTATGTTTTATTTTTATTACTTTATTATTTCCCTTCTACGTGACTTTACCGAAAGAACCAAGAAGATGAGTACATCGTGTAATGAATACATATTAGAACTGGGGTGATGAAGGCAACACCCCCTTCTAATCTGCCAGTCTGATCGCAATAGGTGATCGTTAACTACATTTGTTGCCATGTTCTTAACAAGGCAAAATGGGAGACAATTATTTACGAATTTGTACAATGTGTGTGGGCAGTGGTGCTCCAAACAATAGTGGAGTGGTGGTGTAGCGGTTAACGTGCTGCGCTATGAACCTGGCGACCCGGGTTCGATTACTGCTAACACCCAGTGACGTTTATTTGAATCGGTCTTGGGCCTCCCCTAGCTCGGCTCAGCCTCAAATGCGTATCTGGTGCGGTGTGTAAACATTGCCACTAGGGAGACAAAGGCAGCCGGGCGTGGTTTTGGCCACTCACCCCCCTCGTGTTCCATGCTAGTCTTCATAGGTGCTCGCTCACAGCACTTGCTCCAGCAGTCTATGAAGGCTGTTGGGGGATCTTTGTCTTTTTACAATACACAAGAGTATTTCAGGTAAAGGTGCAGCCATACCAATTGCTCTCTCATGTTGATGTGGGTGGAGGAGCCTCCACTATAGGGAGCTCAAGAGAGCTTCCCTAGAGAGAGGGGGTATTTTCACTTCTGTTCCATGCTGGTCAGATCCCAACTGCGCCCGAGCTGACGGTTGACTAACCGTGGTGTACACATTCATGTCAAATAGAGCTTCATAGCTCATCGGATTTCTCCATGATAAAACACATTCCTGCTGGTAGGAACGTTGGATTGCTCGGTCAATGGCCTGCAGGGTCAACGGCGGCGTGTTGTATTCCGCAAATATGCCCGACTGTGAGGGCAGGCACAAGCCGGCGTGAGTAGGTTAAACGTTGAGTTTTATATGGGCACCACGGGGTGATCAGCCCCTCCCCACCCAGCCCCACCCCTCCCACCCCTCCCCAACCAGCCCCTCCCCACCCAGCCCCTCCCCACCCTCCACTCTCCACCCAGCCCCACCCCTCCCATTTTTGGATGCACGACGGACGGACAGACGGACACAATAATCCCCTGTGGGCTGGTGTAACCAGGAGGTTCCTATTAGTATAAATATTCTGATTGTGAATGCTAGGTGAACAGAGGCGCGGGTGTATAGGACAATTTTTTTTATTGGGAAATAGAATCGGTGACCTCTGGTTGTTAATGCCAGTGTGCTAACCAGCACAGCTTAGCAGCAACCACATAAAGTTTTATATAAATAAATACATTAGGATGACTTGACCAATATATTTTGTTTACATATTGTGGGTGACAAAGTAATCAATCAATTAATAAATAGACAGTCTCTTTCATTGATAGAGAATAAAATAACATATAGGTATATTCGTAAAGAAGGCCTTCAGGTCTGTTGTACTCCTGGAGCTTTGGTTGAAGTTGACAAATCGTGGACTGGCACAAACATTTTAAACTGGTGCAAGGTTTGCCTGCTCTACTAAGTGCCATTTGAAAGTAATATTATAAAAAAACACAGTTTTACTGGTGGATATGTATATTATTTTACTATATCTCTGGCAATTAAGCATACTGTTACTTTATATATGTATATAGACATTATGTTATGACAACTGATGTTGTAGGTGTGCAATAATCACCTCGGCAGCGATTTGCATGATGACTCATAGAACATTGGGAAACAACTCAAAAGTTTTCAGTTAAATAAAAAATCTGAACAGTATGCTCTGGTCACAAATGTGTGAGCATCATCACGGTTGACATTTAATTAAAACGATTTGATCAAAGATAAACGTGCTGAGTAAAATAAGGTAAAAAAATAAATACATATATATGCTAACGTCTCATGTCGAATGGGAGAGGTTAATGCGAACAGAAAAAAAAATCTGTGAATAAAAAATGTTAAGCCATTCTCTGGACTCACAATTCTAGAATACACGGTGGGCTTTTGTTGTTTGATAGGTCGGTTAGCCACATGTGTTGTCTTGAGCACATTCTTAAAAAATTCCAAGGTCAAATAACCAATTTCATTGTCCTGATTTCAATGAGAACTCATTTGTCATTATTGTGTACGAGTCTGAGCTTTAACAATGAAAAACAAAGAATCCTCATTTGGCGTTCTCGACCGTTGGACGCAAGTACCGTAGGTGAACGTCTGTTCGGGGTGGCATGGAACCTGAGGGGTGGCGTGGCCGGAAGCATATCTAACCACCTTTGTCTCCCAGTACCGATGGTAGCATACCATACAAGTTTTTATTTTTATTTTAAATGCATGCCTCGAATCAACCTAAGGGGGAGACCAAGCAGCAATGCACAAACGGCAGACGCCACTTACCACTGATGTTATTCGTGGCTCAGAATAAGGGTGGCTACCTCCCGGGTACAAATAACCAGCACGTATTAAGGGGGGGAAGGAAGAAACAAACATTTCACGATACGAGAAGAGCTCAGCACTTGCGTGTAAGTGCATTGTGAGAATGATTACGCAACTGACAAAAAAACAGGACTCTTAATATCCCAGGAAAGCTGCCTGAAATCTAGGATGGTTCCTGGGAAAACGCAGAACAGATGGCAACCCTCCTGGGAATTTAGCCCAGGCCTGTGGGATCGTAGCACAGTGTGTGGGAGGGCATTCCCACTTTACTCGCCCATGCACTCTGCACAAAGAGAAAGATGACCCCGTGTGTTGCTTAACAAACTGTTGGTTGCAAGTGCTATTCGTGAGCTCCTCAGAAGGCAGGCGCTGTACACCAGGGCTTTGGTGGCCAGGACCATGTCTGGCCGCCTCCGTCTCCCTCGTGTCGATGTTGATACGTTGCACCAGGTACTCATTTGAGGCTGTGTCGACCTGGGAAAGGCCCATGACTCATTCAGATTATCATCACTGGTGTTGGCCACGAGCAGGACTCGAACACGGGTTGCCGGGTTTGTAGTGCAACGCGCTAACCGCTACATAAGCACGTCCCACACATGCACGCACACGCACACATACACATATACATTGTATGCATGTATACATGCATGTATATAAATGTGCACACATTGTACCATCATATCTAAATGCTTTCTGCACATGTGCCATGCGCACTGTGCATTCTGTTGATTGCCCAGCACAGCAAATTCCTCAAATTGATTTTAATAATTGTCAACGTTCATGTGTGCGCCTTTAGTTCTGCTCAACAAGCTCCAGGCAAGTTAGGTGAATTGTACGACATTTGCAGCACCCCAGCCAATATGAACTGTGCACACAAATGAAACGTGAAAGTGGAGCTAATGAACCACAAGCGTCTAATTGACGAGACGTCACAATTTATTTGATCACATCCCATCGTGAAATAATGCATTTACGTCGGAACTTCCGTAATAATAATACTTCTAATTACGAACAATAATGCTCGCACACAAGAAATGTACTAAATTCCAAATGCCCTCCGCCCGCCCGCCCGCCCGCCCCCCCTCCCACCCACCCACCCACCAAAAACATTTCCCAACTCAGTGTCTCCTACAAACTCTCCATCAAGATTCACAATTACATCGCTCGATCTACACCCTTCCCATTAATCTCTCCATATGAGTCACCTGCGAAAGTATGGTGATTTAGATCGCCTCCGAAAATGCGTTTCGGACCAGATGTCTCTGAATCTCCGTCGATCCAGACAATCCACATTCCCAAATCTTTCCAACCAGAGCTCGTCCAGAATTGCTCTCCGGTGCGTTGTCAGGTTGTACCACGCATTTGACGACCGTGATGTCCACATGCTGGGACCTTCTGCAAAAAAAACAAAAAAAATTCTGCACTTTAAGGTAGGGTGGGGCCGGCACAAACTGCACAAACCTTCACCGTGGGACTCCTCCAGAATGATCTCCCAACAGATTTTCATTCATATCACTTCCCTCAATCTCGCAGACATCTCTCTCTCTCTCTCTCTACTCAGATACCTCCACGCACGAGCCTTTTACCCGGACGCCCCCTCCAGAAATGTCTGTCACTCCGAATATTTCTCTTCAGGCTCCCTCGATATCCCTTGACTTTCAAAGCGTGGGATGGCAGGGGTGAAGGGGGGGGGGGAGAGAATTTCGCACCCCCGGGAATGTTGTCTTACTTAACACGAGCCAATTTCAACCCAAAAGGGATTGCGAGTGCAACCAGGCTTTGGGCGCAGCGAGCAACGGCAGGGCGAAACAGAGTCCTGCATAAGTGACAGGGCATTGACGGCGACGACGCCGGTGCAGGTCGCTGTGCACAGGGCGTTGGATGCTGGGAGGTTGGCGCTGGTCGTCGGGGGCAGGCTGCAGGGTGCGGACATGGGTGGATAGGCGCTGGGGCTGGGTGCTGGGTGCAGGGCGCTGGGACTGGCCGCTGGGTGCAGGGTGCTTGGCCATGTGGCTGGGTGCTGGGTGCAGGGCGCTGGGGATGAAGGCTGATTGCTGGGTACAGGGTGCTTGGCCCTGGGGCTGGGTGCTGGGTGCTGGGTGCAGGGCCCTGGGGCTGGCCACTGGGTGCAGGGTGCTCGGCCCTGAGGCTGGATGCTGGGTGCAGGGTGCTTGGCCCTGGGGCTGGGTGCTGGGCCCTGGGGCTGGCCACTGGGTGCAGGGTGCTCGGCCCTGGGGCTGGATGCTGGGTGCAGGGCGCGGGGCGTGGGGCGCGGAGCGCGGGGCGCAGGGTGCTTGGCCCTGGGGCTGGGGGCTGGGTGCAGGGTGCAGGGCGCTGGGGCTGGCCACTGGGTGCAGGGTGCTCGGCCCTGGGGCTGGGTGCTGGGTGCGGGGCGTGGAGCGCGGAGCGCGGGGCGCAGGGCGCGCGCCATCTGTATGCACGGCTTGTGCCGCGCAAATGGGGCACGCGCGGAGCGAGCGTTCTGCACGGCCGCAGGAGAGACGTTCTTTTAACCCGGTTCTGCCCGCACTACGTCTCGGGAAGCCTCGTTGCTAGTAGCGCAGCATCCCTCTTTCCCTGCATCCCCGTGCATCGCCGTGCAGTGTGTGCTAAGTGAGATAACCAGGATCATAATCTGTATTTTGACTGGAGGAATCCGATGAGCTATGAAGCACTTTTTCGCAAATGTCCAGCGCGGGCTCAGCGGCCGAGCGAGCGGCTGGCAATCGGAGAGCTCGCGAGTTCAAATCTTGGTGAGCGTCTGGAACGGCCCTCCCGTTCCTCCCGGGGTTGATGAAACAAGTACCAATTTTTCGATTTAAAGCTTTCGTGACTGCAGGGATTCATCTTCTTGGTTCTTTTGGTAAAGTCACGTAGAATGGAAATAATAAAATAATAAAAATAGAAACATAATGAAATAATTCTCGCGTCTCATTCAGACGCTGTCTTTCCGACAGACCTGTTCTTCACCTGAGGATGGCTGCTTGCGTCCTGTTCTTCACCTGAGGACGGCTGCTTGCTTTGTGGCCGAAACGTCGTGAGAATTATTTTATTATGTTTAATTTTTATTATTTTATTATTTTCATTCTACGTGACTTTACCGAAAGAACCAACAAGATGAAGTACCAATTTGTGGGAGGAAATTCACGGTTGCTGGGCTATGGATAGTCCCACCGCTTCCAAAGCAATGGGATATTTCCACCACTGGGTCCACTGCAGGGCTCCTGTAAGAGGGGATGAGCACCAATGCCTCGCTGGTTATCCGAGCAAAGCGCTAAAAAAAATTACGAGGAGGTTGGTCGCTGGGTGGACCGGGGCAATGACTCGAGCATTCGACTTGCGCGATCGGAACTTCGAGGGATATCAACTCGTTTGTCGCTCTGCGGTCAATGGAATGAGGACATGAGCGGCAGTTTCTGTCTGGAGTTGACTTTCATTCCACCGTGAGAATGTCAAATCGACATCGCCGACCTATTCCCCGTGAAGAAAAACGACAGCACCCGATCGAGAAACCTCATCGAGTTGAAAGAGGTCATTTTACGCAACGTGGTTTTTTGGTGTGTGTGTGTGTGTGTCATCAACGGCTTGTGGAAATGATGGTACGGAAGAGTTACAAACGAGAGGTGTGTATGGGGGGGGGGGGGTGTGTGTGTCCGCGTTGTACCAGCAGTAACATCGCACCTTTCAATTGTGTAAACGCTACAGAAATAAACCTAACCTTGCCTAATCAAACCACGCACGCGAGCGAAACGACTGATTTGTGCGAGTAGATCCAAAGGGGTTGAAATGTTGTTGCAGGGGACTTGAGAAAAGATCGGAATGTTGTGAGTTGACATCGTCATTGGGAGTCGATGCGACTCATCATACCTCCGAGGTTGATAAAGCGAGTACCACTTTTTGCGAAGTAAAATCGTTGTTGCCAAGACATGGACTAGGCCTCTGGTATAGCATTGTTGAATTTCCACCACAGACTGGTGACTGTTAACGAAATAAAAAAAATCCCCATCACTCATTTGAGCATTAAATCGCTTAAACGTTTTGTAATAAACTAGAGCCGTGACACATCGGCAGCACTTTCACGGTTTTTTGAAATGCATAAACAAATTGAATGTGAAAAAAAATACTTACGCCACGTAATGAACAAGTACTGTACACACTGACGGCTAATTTAAATGTCGATAGCCCATTGTGAGGGCCTGCGGTAGAATTATTGGCGTGCGCGACGTTTTTTTTTTTTTACAAATTTTTATTTCACACTCCCATAAGAAATGCATCAAAATGAGCGAAGCGGGTGTTTGATATGTGTGTTGCCCGGGGCATTCGAGCCGGACTCGGGCATCGCAAACGCCGGGCAGCGCGTGGGTTAACAGCGCTCGGAGACATTCCGCTCGTTTGTCCAGGCATGGCTATGGCCATATGGAATTTAACGCTTGGTTGATGGTGCAAGGAGTCAGAAGGCAAATGAGACGGCGGGAAATAAATTAATAACGACTCATCTACATAGATCACCGCCACCGACATTGGAAGAGAGATGGGAAAACACACACACACACACGCGCGCGCTCTCTTTGCCTGTAGCTAATTGCACCATCGCGCCTGTTGTATGCGTCGTCTGCCTACGCAGGTTTATTGTATTTTTTTGCGTTGCGGGGTTGGATAGGGCATGGGTGAGCACGTGCGTGGGATTGAAACCCTTTCGGCATGTTCGTCTCAGGCTGCGGGGCCTATTGTGCTTGAGAGAAGGTCACATTGATGCAGCTTTGTCGTATGCACGCCCGCACGCGCACGCACGCACGCGTGTGTGTGCGTGCGTGCAGTTAAGTGAGTTTTTTTTTTAAATAGCATAGCCTTCTTTGTGTTTTCACTTTCTCTTTGTCCCTTAATTAGCGATTGCCTCCACGGACCCTGCTCTGCTACCCGCTTACCCGCTACTCGCCCCCCCCCTCTCCCCGAATCCGCTTTTGTTGTTGGTGACAATCTCGAATCGTGGCGTATGAATGAAGAAGCGGGAAGGGGGGGGGCTCATTAAACAAAGAGCGCTGGGGCAACGGCGGCACATTTCACTTTGAGTGTTGCACCGCAAATAAAAACAGCGTGCAATACGCACCACGCGCCACTGATGTTTTTGCGCAGACCCCGAGCTGATGTTATCGGTGTCACGCGGCACTTGTTTCGCTCGTATATAAAATGTGTGCGGTCGTTATAAAGGCACAAAAAGTAAACGTGGGAGATTGACGGGCTTGTAATCCGGTGACTTGAAGGTGAGCTGGAGGCAATGTGCAAAGATGGAGCAATCGAGGGAGATATCATCCTGCAGGGAGACAAGATACCTGGAGGAAGTAGCACATGACCAGCAGTCAGGATCTGGCAGACCGGGACAGTGAACTGCTATTTAAATCCTTTATATTAAGTTCACTTGCTTGCTTGCTTGCGCGCTTACGAATGTGCAAATTTTTCGGTCGTTTTTTAACCCACTTCCCGTGATCCAATCGAGCTGACATTTTGCACACATACTCGTTGTGCGTGACAATTTATTTTCGTGAAATTTTTTTCTCCAAAATTTTCCACTTTTTAGGAAAAATAATAATTCATATTTAATTTAAAATACCAATGTGCTGAAAATGAAACTCTTACTCAAGAAAAACAGAAATGAATAATAAAATAAAACCGATGCCAAGCATATAAAGGATTTATAGTGAAAAACTTTGTTTTTACGGGTTAATTGTTTTAATATGGATGCTGCCGCAGTGGTGGAATAAATGACCAGCTCGCTGGACTTGCAATCCAGAGTTCGCTGGTTCGATTTGATTTCCCGGAGTGGCAGTAGAAACGCTGGGGTGAAAATGTCTTGAATTTCCATCCCCCCCCCACCGCAACGCACATGGGTACAACACCGTCGATCTGCAGGTCACATTATAAGGTCACACTCATGGCAAACAAAGGAGCGCTTGCCACAAGTGAACCACAATATTTTGCTGATCTCGTCAAGGAGTATAAAGCATCACGCGAACTCCGATCATCCTCGCAGACATAGATGCGCGTCTGCTGCTGTCTGGAACGACCTTCATTAGTATGTTAGGAAGCCACTGGAGCAATGCACTTTGAAATCTATATTAAAAGCATTTTTTTACAACTGCTTTTTGTGTTTCAATTGTTGACCTTCCCCCGCACCTCCGATTAGCACGGTGCGAAAAAAGTCCACCATACATGAATGCATACATATTCCCCTTTCCAAAATGCACGCTGTTTTTGAACATGCTTCGCTTATCATGGAGAGTGGGCAAAAACGTTTCATGGGAAGCAGTAACGACTCAACGACCACCACCTGCCTCATTCCCATCTGCAAGTTGCAAAGCAACAGATATTGAGCAGTTCCCAGAAAGCGAGATAAATTGCACGTTTGGTCAAGGTGATGCGGTAGAGTAGAGACTGCACATCGTTCACCAATCATTGGTTGTGTTCGCAACGTAGCTTTGCTGTATACCTGGCCATGGAAGCAAGATTCCAACGAAGTCACCGCTGAAGCTAATGCTTTTTCGATATATCTCATTGGGATTTATAATGCAGACTTAGGACAACACATATCAATACACAAAACAATTAAACAAAATTAGGAATGCCTCTTGTGAGGCTTTCCTGTGTAAACTACAAATGTATTATTTACACAAACATACCTCCAAGGATTACAAAGTTACGTACCCTTTCTGTGCTGATGATCTCTATCAAGGGTGAAACCTAAATTAAAACAGCGCGTGAAGGTTACCTTATTGTTCACAAATACTCTACATGCTCGCAATCCCAGACGTTTAAAAACATGCCTATTTGGCCTAGCAAAGGCTGCTTGATTAACTTTTTAATTTCCGCGATTCCGTACGGACCGTATGCCTCTCGCAGCAGCGCAAACTCGACTTCATATCAAGTTGTTCATTTCGGCGTTCATTACTGCATGTGCGCGCGCTATAAGCACGCCACTCAAATGAGTGACCGATTATGGAATAAATGTAAACGCGTTGTAATGGGAAACATGCGCCCGCTAATGCATCTAATTAGCGCACCTCATGCATTTTTATTTCTTCCCCGGGCTGTTTTTTTCTTTTAAGGGAAACAACACGTTTAGTTTAGAGACTCTGTGCGTGCGAGGTCAGCCCGCTAACATGCTACCAATGTCGCCGAACCCAGAACAATGGCAAGGCAGTAGCTTTGAGACTAATAGAAACTTTCGGGTTCCCTGCCCGAAGGGATCTCTCATATATTGAAACTGTAAAAAAAATAAAACAGCCACATATTGTCCGTGGAAAGTTCTAAGATCTCCTTGATAAACTACTTGTGCAAACACAATAAAGAGCCGCTGGAATTTAATTCGGCAGACACATTTAAAAAAAAAATCGTCAACATGTACCAGACGTGTCTAAAATGGCGAGGAATCTGTGC